TTGTTTGTTGTTTGTTGTTTGTTGTTTGTTGTTTGTTGTTTGTTGTTGTTGTTGTTGTTGTTGTTGTTGTTGTTGTTGTTGTTGTTGTGCTTAAACGTTTAAACCTATTTTCTTTTACCCAAAGACCTAATTCAAGACGTCCTTCCGCAGGTGTCGCTTCTGCTTCAGCCTGCAGCCACCCTCCCGCGACTTGCTCCGCCCGGCAGTGGAGCTGCTCAGGGCCACGGGGCGCCTGCGGCGGGTGGTGTGAACTGGACGCAAAAAGGGTGGAATGGTGGAGGGGGGGTCCCAGGGCGGATTCTGAGACATCTTGTTTGGGGGTTTCGGTTTCGGCAGGCTCAATTCGATGTTCGATTCTTTGCCAATTTTTTTTTTTTTTTCAGGTGGTTCTGGTGATCTCACTCCAAATTGCATTAACGGCAAAACCCACGCTTTTCTATAGTTCCCTTTTGCAACTTCTCCGCTCTTTCGTGCCCCCCAAGTTACGGTCGCCCCTTCCCACCCCTTCCCACGGTCGCCTCCGCACCGTGGTTCCAGGTACATCGCCGACGAGGCGGACGATGTGTCGCGGGAGACTTGCGGTGCTTTGCCCAACCTCACCGGCACCCCGACGGTGGCCTGGACGGTGGAGCAGGAGCGGAGCGCCGGGCGTTTTGGAGGGAAGAGGGGGTTGGGATGGGTTCCCCAGATTTCGAGGAAGAGCGCCATGGTTGGGGGGAAGAGAGTTGATTGAGGAATTTGAGGTTGATTATGACGGGTTACAATCAGGGATGAGAAAAGGAAATCTTAATATTGACGTATCAATTCTAGCAACCTCATATACATACATCTACCCGTGCTGAATTTCTGTGATCTGTCCAAAACTCAGTTGCGAGTGGCTCAAGTCTAGAAGTCTTTTAGCGCGAGCAGCTAACAGCTACCAGAGAAACTGGAAGCAATGGGATCGTCTCAAACTCGCGAGGTGCGAGAGTTTGAAAAGGTAGATTCCCCAGTGGCCGAAGGGATGCTTCGCATCATCACATTTCTCGTGCTTGCAGTGGTGGCACCGTTCTGCTACTTCTTTGCGAATCCTCAATGGCGTGAGGATTTCGGCCTGAAACAAGCAGGCATGCTGATCCTCTATGAGTTCGTCGTTATCCTGGTTCTACTACTGTTGCTAATTTTTGGGCTTGACAAGGCTAGACAGATTCCCCAGCGCGTACAAAAGATACGCCTAGAAGGAAGCACGGACACGGTCATCGATGCAATGGCTGCTTTGAAGTTGTCAGGAGGATTAGGATTTTTGCCATCTGTGCCGAAACCTGCAGCATTGAAGCAATGATGTTGCAAGTATCAGGCGTGCGGCTTGACATAGGATCCTTTTCAAGCAGCCCAAACTTTGTTGCTGCGGCTAGTGGCCAAAAATGCAGCATTGTGCTGCTTGAGTTTGCTGAGTGCCTCTGACTGAGGCTTGAGTATTAGTATTGACATAAACGTGTATCCTTCTCTTCATACAAAAACCTGAAATGCTAGGCTCATCAGGATTCCCTTCAGTGGCCTGTGGCGGTTAGGGCTTGATCTTATTCCCCGACAAATCCAGTGGATTCCAGCTCCCAAGTTGAAGGCGCAATCCAACCCCCAAGCGTGTGCCAGGCATGTGCTACTCACCCATACAATCAACAGGCCCCTCTACCAGACATGGTCAGATTCCAAGTTTGAAAAAGCCCGTGGGGACTCTCCAGAGACCAGAGAGTTTGACTCACATGGCATGAAGAATCCACAAATGCTTCCCAAACTGCCTGGGAGGCGCTGCGGCTTGACAGCGTGGGCGTCCCGCTGGAGTCGGACGTTTGGGTGCTCTGTGCGAGACACCTGCAGTGCCTGGTCGAGCCAGAGCCGAGCGGGGGTAGGAGCCGACTGCTGGTGAAAGCAGCCTTCTCAGCCTTCTCAAGTGAGAAGGAGTGAAAGCTTGCTGACTGGATGTCAGGAGTCCGAGGAGTCCGAGTCTCAGGAGTCTCAGGAGTCTTGGTGTTGTTTCGATGGTTTTTCTCGGTTTCGCTTGGGCGAATCCACAACACATGTGGCTCTTCACCACCTCAGTAGCTTGGATTGGTGGAAGTCACCCTTTGCACATGAATTCGGCGACATCCCAACAAAAACTTTGGCTGGCAGAGGTTACCGGAGCCCTTTTCAAAGAATTTCTGGAGGTCCTGGCGGTCCTGGCTACGTTAGTCGTAGCGAGTCGGGGGACCGACTATGAGCCGCTATGACTCAGCACACTACGCCAGACTCGGATGAGGGCCTCTTCGGGTCGGTTTGGACACCTTCACCTTAATTATTGCTTTCATCTTGTATCTTCCTGCTAAGTGATAATTAAAATATATATGTATACATATAATATCATCACGATTATATAAGCAGTACACACACACATATATATATACATATATATGAGTGACACAATTCTGGATTTGATGTCCTTTTGAACCAGTGGGAAGTTTCTCTTTCTTCCCTTAAACCGGATGATTTCCTTGTCTGAATCAGGTCGTCTCGGCATTGCGAAACAACCGAGGCATTGCTTGAACTTCGTGGAGCTCTGGAGTACCCTCAATGCCACCCAAAGTCCTTGGGCTGTGGTCGTCTCGTCTCCATGCGTCGCTTGTCGGCATTGGGATGGGATTCGGGGGGAGCCGATAACCAGGATGCCATTTAGACACATTCTAAAGATAAACAACAATGTGACGCGAGACCATTCAAGAAACATGTAACATCTCCATCATCCATTTTTGGGGTCCCCCCAGTCCTCCCTTTTAAAGCGACCGTTGCGACTTAGGTCTCCACCTTGCAGGCGCTGCCGGGCTATGGCGGTTTCTTCCTGGGGGTGGTGCCGCGGAACCTCTGGGCCCCCTGGGCTTCGAAGAACGGCCGGCGCCACTTCGTTCGATGCTTTCGAGTTGGAGGATCGTCTTTTCTGAAAAGAGATGTGGATCCATGATTCATGATGTCATCCAAGGGCCGAGAAAAAGCCCTCGTTGTTGTGCACCAACTGACTTTTGGCCTAGGTTGTGAAACCAACCAACCAGAGCGAACTGAGCGTTTCACTCACACCTTTCTGAGCTGATTCAAGCAGCATTCCGCTTTGGATGGATGCCTGGGCTCTCGTATCAACCTCAACTCCCCCCAACCCATCCAATCTCTAGATGTCAAGCTGATGGCAACCTGGGTGGTTTGACATGTTTCTGCTGAGGCTGACTTGTCAAACAGGGTGCCCATCTGGTCAGTGCTCTGCCGTCGTTGATCTTTTACTCGCACGCCCCTTAAACAAAATAATCCGCATGTCTAACGTGGGGACGTTGCCCGTTGCCACCCCCTCCCCCAAACCGTGTCTTCCTGGTGGGGTTGGTGCCCCGCTGAGGCGACGTGGGAGTCCAACGGCGTGGCTTGACACTCCAACGGCGTGGAGTTCCACGGGGGAGGCTCTCAGCCTTTGGGGGTTTCAAGATGGTCTAGGAAGATCACGTAGGGGGGTCAGAGTGGGGGTCAGATAGGTGGGGAGGGGTTGGTCAAGGCGTCCATGTGAAGTCTCTCCATGCCCTTACCTGGATCTCTACCATTGGGTGCAGTCCCTCTCGTTTTGGAGCTGGAGGGGACACGATGTTGAGAAGATGGTGGAATGTGGTGATGAGGGATGGACGAGACCAAGATGGGGATACATGGACGGATGTGGAAAGAAAAGACTGCAGGAAGGTGTACGAAGGAGTAGGTGGACGAGTTTGGAATTGGCTCGATAAACAGGAAGTGGATAAAAAGACACAAGGGTGAGAACTGAAAGAGTACCAACTCAGCGTGATCTTGTGGACTGTGGTACTTCAATGTTCATGTTTCATCATGGTGATACATAGAGTATGTAGTGAAGGCGAAAGTGCAAGACGACCGTTGCTCTTGGACTGCCTTCAAGGCCCGCAAGACATATGCTCGCATTTTTTGGCGCCGGGGTTTGCCACAGACCATCCCACTCACCGGCCACACGCCGTGTTTCTTCTCCGTTCCCAGTCAGCTAGTCTGGGACTGCCATAGGACTGCCGCCCCAGACCGCCCTGGCACCACCCCTGGCCGTTTCTCGGCAGTCCGGACCGGCAGTCCCAGACAGGTCGTGTCTGGGTACCAAGGTCCCAGGCTGGGAGCTCCCGGCACAAACCCTATAAGCCCGAAAGACAAGCCAGTGCATCCCAGGCAAACCACGTTTGTAAGGAACCAGGGATTCGTTCGGTCTATGGTTTTAGTCTGTGGAACCACTGGTGACCAGCTATAGTGGTAACTGGATGCCCGAAAGACACGTTGAACCTTCCGAATTGCTTGGGGAACTAAGTTGAGTGGAAATCGTTTGAGCATACACTCTCCGAGAGTTTTTCGGATCGCATGCTGTCAACACGGAGCTCGCTCTCTCTCTCTCTCTCTCTTATGCAAGCAAGTATAACACGCACCAATGCCGGGCCATTCCTCATGCCCATGTTGGCTTTTGCCGCTTCGGCTTCAACGGCTCCGAGGTCGATCGGGAGTGGTGTCACGGCGGCAAAGGGGGTGGGTTTCGAGGGGCGCCAGTGGTTTCAGTGAGTGGGCTAGGAAGCATCAGACGTTGGGACCGAACTGATTTGGGCCGCAGGATGCTGCGCGCAGCAACACACACACAAGAGAGATTCAACAAACGACAAGCGGGCTTTGTGCGGAACTCCGTGAACATCCAAACACACCATTTACGCCACCGCTTTCGTATTCGTAAACTCGTCAACTCCGAACCAGGCTGTTGCTAGACGCAGCCTCTTATGGTGGTTAGCCTCTCCAACTTGTCGTTAGACGCAGCGCCGAGAGAAGTCTCACAGCACCGAGTGAGCTGTGAAGTTGGGGCGACATCGGGGTGAGCCCAGGAGCCCCTAGTGGCGTCCTTGTTCCTAGTAGCGATGCCAGGAGCCCCTAGTAGCTTCTTGCTCCTAGTAGTAAGGCCAGGAGCCCCTAGTAGCGTCCTTGTTCCTAGCTTTTCGTTCCCACGAACAGATCGCTGCTCGGAGGAGGAGGCGCCGAGCACCATGGTCGGCTTCTCTTGTCTCTGTTATAGTGGCCTTGTGGGCCTTGACCTGGCGAAACATGGGGCGGCCGTAGTGACCCTTGGAGTTTCCTCCGCCTACGCCCGCCGCGAAGAGGTCGGGCGCTGGGCAAGCCACGCGAACGGAGGACCCCGGGCACTGCGCGGTTGGGGGAACCCTGGGGTGTGGACCTTGTCCTCCGCCGGTGACCAGTGTCCGAAGAAAGGGATAGTGTTTGGTTGGGACCAGGACAGGAGCCTTGAAGAATTTGAGGACTCCGCCTCTATGTCATGTGTTCGTATGTTTGTGCATAATATAGCCTTTTGCAGTGAAGCCCTGCAACCCAACCATTGGAAAAAGTATTTTGCTGGGTAACCAGCTCATCAACATTGCCAACTCTCTTTTTGACCCTGCAAATGCCACCCACATTCCTGATTCCACTCATGTTTTTCACGCGTAACCGACTCATAGCCAAGAGTCTAAGCTGACAAAAGTGAGACGCGATGGACGATGGATTCCGAAGAGTTGGTTCCCAGAATTATTGTCTGGAGTCTGGGGGGGACATGCTCTGCGTTTTGCTGGGTGATGGTTGGGTGATTTCAAGCGATGGTGAGCGATGGATTCCAAAATCAAGTACAACAACAACTACCCAGCAAGATGTATAAAGATGTATATAAAGTATAGTAAAGGTCCAAATTCATGGCGCCCATTTTCCAGATGCATTCTACCAAATACAAGTGGTGCCAACAGTTCCCTCCAGCTCCACGGGTCAAGCCAGCCCCAAAAGTGACGTGCACCAAGAGCAGGACCTGCTGCCGTGGTTCCAAAGCCTCGTCGCGCGGGCAGATGTGGCGTCGCCGCTTCCAGAGCCCCAGGCGCGCGGGTGTTGGTCGGCGCGCGCGCGTGTGGACCGCTCCGCGCGCGGAACTCCATGGTCGGGGTCCCGTCGCCATGACGATTGAGAGAGGGACATCCAACTCAGCCCGACACGACTCTCTCAAGCTCAAAGAGTAGTGTCAGAGTCCGGAGGATGGCAAGAGAGGGAAGCTCAAAGAGTTGGACAGTCCAGGTTCTGTGCCGACTTCTTGGGATTGCTGGGCCGACTTCTTGGGGATGGCCTGATACCCCCCGATCGGATGGTTCGTTCGTGCGTCTTCTCAGGGTTGAATGTGGTGGGGGTCCCGCAAAGATTTTCGCGCTTTCCTCAGATGTTCACCTAGGCCACGTTGCAGATGGTTGCAGATGAAAGTAAGATCCACTCGCAAGTGACCCACACGAAAATACGTTGCAGGAACTGCCAGGTAGCTGTGGTTTCTTCCGGCATTAGGGGGCCTGGGCATCTGACTGATCACTATCACTAGGAAGCAGCGATCGGAAGGATCTTCTGCATGATCGGCGTAAGGGGTTTGACGTGATCAACGCTCTGCGCCTGTGAATGGCAGGGTAGCGCCATCGACGCCAACACCTCCTCGAGGTATCAGCAAGTGGATCCTCAGCAGAAATTGGGAGCGATGTGGCTCGTTCTACCGAGGGTTGATAGGTTTTCCGCGGAAGAATCAGGTTTGACTGTTTGGGACGTGATCAAACTCGCGTGGCGACCGCTCACCAAACTCCCCAAGCAAATCCTCCTGTCCAATGATTTGCGATGATCACTGATCTATGAGCCGCCAGCATCTTCGGTTCTGCTGCTAAGAGCTTGTTTTCTGTCTGTTCTTCGAACCAAAAGCACAGCCGGAGAACCTTCCTTTTCCGTCCGGATCCCACCCACCGATGACCGGCACCGGTGACCGTCACTCCGACACCAGGCCTAAGCCGCCAAGCTCCGCGCGACCGCCGGACCCTTCCGCGGCGGGTGCCGGGCGTCCGAATCGGTCGGAGATGCCCCAGGCGGAGATTGGAGAGCTACGTTCCGGGAGGCGCGGTCACACGGGCCGTGTGAAGCGCGAAGCTGCGGCCGTGTGTGGTGGAAGCTGACCAGGGGGAGGGATTTGGGGGTCCAAGGAGCAGAATTGACACCAATGAACCTATCTACGAATCTACTTTAGGACCTCTGTGAACCTACACTAGAGACACCCGTGGTTTCGTGATGGTCAAGCGTGAGGCACTGAAGCACCAGGCACACAACAAGAGGCCAATGTCGTGCAGGGTATCAGCTAAGTCTGACGCATTGACAGGATCCAAGTTCACGTCAGCATCGTACGGCCCCTTTTTCCGCTCATTGGTTTCACGACCCCAACATCATGATCTGCAAAGCATTTTGAGGTAGCCGCACTGAGGTGAAGTCAATGACCGCCTCCGCTTGAAGAGGGTCTGTCAGACTTCTACTCATCATGTCCTCCAACAAAACACTTTTGCCACCCGGAACCACCACGTCCCACGCTTATATGTGCCGGACCTTTTTGGTGCGACTCGTTTTGGCAGAATGTTCACGACCGGCCCGGCCCGGGCGCCGGTGGCCCCTGGGCCTCGAGTGACAGAGGCCCTTTGATGCCTTCACCTCCTGGGCCGCTCTCTCAGCCCTGCTCAGCGCGCTGGAGCGCTCGGGCCGCGCCGCGCCGGAGGCGGCGGCCGCGGCCCGTTCGGGGGCCGTTCGGGTCCTCGGAGGTCCGGGGAAGAGGGAGGGTCTGCGCGGGAGGTCGGCGGCCCCCCCCCCGATCGGACATGATCCGAGCATCTTTTTAAACACATTGTTTGAATCAAAGGGTGTGGCCCACATCGGTTGCCCACATCGGTTTGCTTTTCGGCTGGGCCGGTGGGGACCGAACACCGGAACCGGAACCTGGGGGGATTCTGCAATCGGTGTGGGAGGATCAGAGCGATCGAGAGATCGGCTCAGAATCTGCTCAGATCAGCTCGGTCATGGAATGGAATGGTTGGAATATGTTGGAACGGTCCTCAACTCGGTCCTGGAATGGTTGGAATGAGGCTTTTTCTCGGTGGAATGGTTGGTCTCCCTGAATGTATGGCGCGTTGATCGCCCACCGGACCGGCGTCCCGCATCGGGTTCGGGGGGATCCATGTGGACAGAGGTTCGGGGTGCGAGGACCTACGATGTTGGATATGATAAGCGGTGACATGCAACAAGAGAGAGGCGGGTTGGCTGTCTACTTGAGTGCCTTCGGTGTACGAACATCCTGAAGAACCCATGGCGCGCGCGCCATGGCGCGCACGCGCGCGCGCCAGGCTCTGGCCAGCCAGCTCTCAGCCATGGACTTCCAAACCATTGCCGGGCCCCTGAGCTTCGACGCTTGGACGATGTTTTGCCTCACGGCTGTGACCGGGGAACCGGCGCTTCCGGGCGCCGGCTGGGAAGATGGCCGGCAGATGAAAGATGAGCTTTGGACCAAAAGCATTGACGACGTGCGAATAGAGACACAATGCTTCTTGAGCAGATGGTGGGATAAGATGCCACCACAAAACTTGGTTTGGTTGCTGTTTTAGCCACATCCTATTTTGGCTGTTCTGCATGGGCTCCCAGAGATTGTTTTTGCTGCCAAGGATGCCAACGGGCAGAGTTCCACCGGTGGCTTGGCAGCGGTGCAGAGTGCAGACAGTTTTGGATATTGTCCAAAAAAGTAAAGGTTGCAAACTTCCAAGAGAGGCCACACACGACTCACTAACATGGAAGTGGAAATTGCCTCTTGGAAGACTCCTTTCCTCTACAAACAGTGGGTTTTCCACTTCCATGTTAGTGAGTCAGAGTGTAAGTGACCTTAAAGGACTACTGGGGTGCCTATGGGATAGTCTATAAGGTCCTTCAACCTCTGTTGGTTGTAAACCGTACGGTGACTTGGTCTGTTTCAGATGAAGTGGAACGAATCAGAGTGATCCGGATGGGGATCCGATCAGCCACCTCAATCAGCCACCTTTCAACCCGCTAGGCCAAGGACCCTGGCAGTGCCAAGGGTCTTTGCCGCCGCCTTGCCCGCTGGTCGTGTTCCTTATGCGGTGCACGACGGAGGTTTGTTTTAAAGAAATGCAGCTCTTTCAACCACCAAGATGGCTTCACGTCATTTTGCATCTCAACCGCCGGTCCTCCATAAAAACAGACCGGTGTGTGTGTGTGTGTGTGTGTTTTCCTCATGTGTCCTGCACAGCGATGCTGCGATGCTGTGACCTCTGCTTTCTCCGGTTGAGAGGTGCCTGGGTGCTGCAGCTGGTGCCGGGCGAAGCATCGCCGTGGCCGCTGGCCGTGGCCGTGGAGGTTCGGCCGTCCGTTTCCCTCCCGCCGCGGAGGCGGAAGGAATCCGAACTCGGCGACGATCTTGGTCTTGTCATGAACTCTTGTGTAAGGTATTGCATGTGGTTTTCCTTTGGGCTTTGGGCTTGTGTATGCGAAGGTGTTGTCCTGAGAGGGGACTTGAAGACATGACGAAGACATGACTACAAGCTGTTGTTGCAATTGAACTTCATGGTTTTGGTTTGGTCATACTGTCATTATATACCCAAACTTCCTGACTGCCCCTGCAAGGGTTGTGAAACAGTGGTTTTGAGATGGATCACAAGTTGTAGAGAAGCACCTGCTTGCCAAACCGGCGTGTCCCAACACCTGCAAGTGATCCCCCCAGCCGTCCAGCGTTGTGAACATCTCAATTTGCCAAAGGAACACGCAAGTCTTGATGTGATCAGTTCCATATGCCCCTCTGCTTGCAAAGCAGAGCGGTGTTCTTTGACCTTTCAGGGAAGGGACACCCCTGGATCCGCCAGGATCGGGTGTTTCAAAAACAGGTCGCTTCGGTCACCAAGAAGTGCCCCAAGACAGAACCTCCTGGCCTGTTCGACATGTGGGAGTTGGTGAGAGTTGATGCAACATTTTTGGGTCATGTGTAGGGGCCATTATTGCTGTAATGGGCCTGTTGGAGGGGTGGTTCCCTTTTTGATTTGTCAAGATTTGTGTCCTCCTCTTCCCCAGCCAGGATGTGGTCTGCACCGCTGAGTCCTGTGCCATACCGCTGAACTCGCCCGCTCTGCTTCCTCCGGTGGGAGTGCTCGGTGGGTTCTTTTGCCTGCAGATCTTTAAACCTGATATATACTGACTTGTAATGAGTTATATTATAAGTAACACATGTATATACCGCTTGTTTTTGATAGCCAGAACACCGGGCTTCTGAAAGGCTTGTCCCTGCAAAAAACAATCTTTTGCCTTTAGGGAGCCAGGAGAATCTCGCAGAACCTTTGGGCGATCGGGGCCACGGACCCAAATGGGGCTCCGAATCTGAGGCCCTCCACCCGGAAGCTGTCCTGATGCCCTTCTCCTCCGGGTCTCCGGGCCTCCGCCACGCAGGTGTGGACGGTGCCGCCCCCGGGCCGCGACCGCCGCTGCTTCGGGCGCGCGGCCGGCGCGCACGCGGGCGTCGGCGTGGAGCGGCTGCCGCACGGAGAGCTGTGCGGGCGCTGCGCGGCGGGGAAGGTGGCGATCCTGGAGCCGGGGGGGGGGGGGGGGGGGGGAGGGGCCAATGTGGGTATCAGAAGGATGTTTTTGCATATTTTTGTTTTCTATGGACGATGTGCTGAGGATGCTTGAATGTGGGGTACAATTGGATGACAAATCGATACATGTACAAGTGGAACAGAGGTTTGGATTTGTCATGCATGAAAAGGGCAGAGGGGAGGGGAGCTGCAAAGTGTTCCCAGTTCAGAGCAAGTCTTGTAATTCGTCTTCTGGATATTTCCATTTCTTTGCAAAGAAGGAGATACAGAGTGCCATCGATCGCTCCTTGCATGCTGACTTAGGATTCTCAGTTGCAGCGACGCTATTGTGAGACTTGCGCGAGCTCGGAGTACGTCCACGAGTTCCCAAACGGCATCCTGGGAAAACAATTTTGTTCATTCTTCTAGGAGCAGCCAACCAATCTAAAGACTCTACAAACTACAACTACTAGAACACTCAAATATCAGGCTGGTGAATGAGTTTGGCATCCGCACCGTTTGTTTGGAGCCAATTCAACCAAACCGCTTGAAAAAACATGGAAAAACCCCTTGTCATGTTTGTTTTTCGAATCCCAGGCACCCGCTCCTGTGAGCTGTGCAACGGCACGACCCTCTGTGGCGCGGGCCTCTACCAGCTGAACTGCGGCTGCGCGCCCTGTTGGCCCGGCAGCTTCGGCGCCAACGGCAGCTGCCACACCTGTGGGGACGGGGCAGTGTCCGGTGCCGGGGCAGCTCGAAGCTGGGATGTGAAGAAGCAGATGTGAGTGGAAAGCGATGAGTGACAGGAAACAATGGATGGTGTAGTGTAGGATGAAGTGATGGTAAAGAAAGTCCTGGGACTTGGGTAGGGCAAGTGCGATGTTTTCCGGGTTCATGAGTTCATGATGATGAACCCTACGGAAGAGATTGAAGAACCTCTAAACGAATAACCTCCAGAACTGCATTGTTCTGCCGAAATCCATGGCTTCTCCTCGGCTTGTTGTGCCCAACATCGCCCCTTTGGATGAGACTGGGGTTTGATCAGTGTTGGACAAACAACTCATGAATCATGAACGTGAGTCACCCTGAAACTGCTCGGCCATTTTCGGACCCCCATCCCTTTTTAAAACCAAGCGTCGGCCCCTTTCAAGGCCGTCCGGGTCTCCGTTGGGACTGACCTCGTGAGCCGCCCTCTTTCCGACCTATGAGCGAGCTCAGGATGTGAGCCCTGCCCCCAAGGGACCACGAGCCTGGTGGACCACTGCGTCCCCTGCGCCCCCGGCCGCTTCGCCGCCGCGAAGGGCTCGGCGTGCGTGGCCTGCGCGGCGGGCAGCGTGGCGCCGCACGCGGGCGCCACGGAGTGTGCGCCGTGCAGGGCCGGGCACAGGGGGAGTTGGGATGGCAGGCGATGTGCCTTGGCCCAAGAGTTGAATCAAGGTCCTGCAGGTGACAAAGCCAACACCTTCTTCCAGGGAAACATTTGGGAGCCCTCCAATGTGCTTTGTTTCTAGTTGAGGTCTACGTGCCATTTGAACTGGGAGGTGCTGAGAATTCGTTCTTGTTTTGGTCATGACTCTTTGTTGAGAAATCACGGAAGGATGCAATTCAGTTTTCTATTGATGTCCTCCCGGATTCTTGTGCAGGTTCGGTTCTCGCAAATCCAAACATATCCAAACTGATGGCTGCACAAAAAGGTTTTTGTAGTCGGTGGATGTTCTTGCCTGTGGGTGGTTCAAAGCTATAGTCTTTGGAGCTTCTCATCAATCAAGTGAGGTGAAGAGTGCCCAGTCGGCAGCTATCAGCCAAACTCCAACTCCAGTGAATGCCTGCCTGCTGTGGAAGGGGCTGACTTCAATGCCACAGGCGATGAGTGTGTCGGATTCCGTTTTCTCTGCGTGCTTGGAACAGCCAGGCCAGACGCATCCAAGCCCCGTTTTTGCGACCCAGTCCTTCTCCTAGGAAACTCTGAAGGGTGTGTATCAATAACTCCCCTTCACCCCGTGCTCCCGACTCACGACGAACTCCTTTCGCCTCCGCGCCTCTTCTGCGTGCGTCACCGCCCCCCCCTTCCAGTCCGCCCCGTCCGCCCAGTCCGCACCGTCCGGAGGCCTCATTAGCGGTCGGAACCTCCCGGGGTACTGGGCGCGGCGGCGGGGCGCCGTGATGACCTGGGAGCGGTGCGAGGCGGGGCGGAGCGGGCGGAGCGCGCTTGGAAGCAGCGCGTGCCGGGCGAACGAGAGCTGTGCTGCAGCGAACGGTGGGGCGCAGTGGCTTGGCCCGGGAGTGGGTGGTGCGCAGTAGCTGGCTTTTGGTTTTTGTTTTAAGCTTCCAAGATGGAAGTCACCCTTTCTACCTTTAAAGCAAGGATGCTTCCTCGGAAGCTTCGGGCGGTTTCGTTCTTTTTTGTTTGACTGGATGTTGACCAACTTGCCAGGCAGAGTTTTAGTTTTGCTGGGCTTGAAAGTAGAGGATGGAGGGTCAACCACTTTTTCATGGTGTGGAGATGTTATTTCAGAGCAATGGCTTGGACGTCGACCTGGTCATCCCAAACATCCTGACTGTTTTGGCTCCCAGATGACCCCTGACCACCTAGACATCACCCGACCTGATTTGCGCATTCTGCGCCGTTTGCGCCGTTTGCCCTTCGCACGGGGGTGCGCGGGGTTGGCGCGTGAGGTGCTTTAGCTGTGTGCCTGGTGCGGTGAAGGTGGCCGATGGCGGCTGCAGCGCGTGTGGTCTAGAGACTGTGATAAGTCTGCTGTGTCTGGTTCTGCTGGTGCTGTGGATGGCCATGTGCTTGGCGAAGCTGGGAGTGGAGAGGAGGAACCGGCCGAAGGATCTCAGAAGCTGGGCCGAAATGATCTGTTGGCGCTGGGCCCATCCACCCACACATTGAACACAAACCAAAGCCCCCGATGAATTGTGACGGGTATCTGAATCCCAAGTCCTTCGCTTCTTCAGTTAGCTTGTGTGACAGGACATGGACATACATGTGATGCTTCCTGGAGCCCCCCATCATGGTCCACCTTGACATCCACTCATCCATCAACCACCTGAAGAGTGTGATAAAGCGACAAAGCACTTACCCTCCTCCCGTCCATCAACACCCGCGCTAAAAATGGCGTGTGTGACGGGAAAGGGGTTTAAGATGGTATACTGTAAGTGTATTGATTTATTGGGCTGAAGAGACCTCAACTGTCTTTTTAAAGATTCCGATACCGTTGCATTTCGTTTGCTTTCAAATTCCCTTCAGGATTGGTTTACATGAAGATTTTCCTCCTCTACTTGGTGGTGATTGATGCCCTCTTCACCACCGCTGTGGAGGTGCCCTCGAAGGACATCCTTGCTGTCCTTTCTGAAGTCGATGCAAAGCATCTTCCCTAAGCCCCCCGAAGTCCATGCATTGGTCTTGAAGAGGAAGGCTATCTTAAAACGCCCAGCCGATTAAGGGAGGGCGACCCCTCAAAAAGTGCCCAGCCACCGGAGCTCTGAGAACACATGCAAGACGGGACCGCATCACAGTGGACTGGCTATGCTCAACCTTTGGGATTGGCTTGGCATGGTTGTCCCAGCCACTCAACCAGAACAGGGCGGAAAAAGGTGCCTTTCTTTTCCGACCAAAGCAGCTCGGCGTCCACCATGCACGGACGGGAGATCCTTTGGGTCATCCCCTGCCGCTTCCAGGACGAGCGCCCGGAGTTCCGCGTCGGTCGAGCGCCAGGTCTTGCACTCGGAGCCCTTCGTGTTGGAGGCCTGAGGGTGTCGTCGGGCAGATCTTCATCCGACAGGTCGGTGGATTGGGAGACTTTGGAGAGCCAGTCAAGTCTCCCTCTGGTTTTAGGGCATCACCCAGTCGGTCGTGCCAGTCCTGCCAGTGACCCAGTCATCCCTTCTATCCAGGCAACTCTACAACTGTTGCCCTCGTGGTCAGCGCCGCTGGCGCGCGCGGCCCGCTGTGCTGTCCTGGGAGTTCAGCTTCCGGCAGCTTCGCCCAGCGGCTTCCCAGGAGCATTGGGGGGCGTGGCGGTGAGCAGACAGCTGGCCCGGGCACCTAGGACAGGGACGCAGTGCAAGAAGCTTGGACCGACGTTTTGTTCCGCCCAAAGCTACGGACCGCAGCTTGGCCAAGCGCAGCCGACTCCTCAGCCATTTTTCGGCCGAACTCGGCAGCCGGTCCAGGTGACCTTCATGAGTTGATCAAACTTCCGGAGTTGTGGATCCGGTGTGAACACAAACCAGGACACCCTAAAATGGCGGCTTCTATTGATAGCCCCTTAGATGTTAAGGGGTGTCCATTAACCACCCCTTGTGATTCCTGGAGGGCATATCATCTCTGAGAACAGTCGACACCCAGCATCTACACGGTTGGAGCGTGGCTCAAATTCCCACACTTGAAAAGTGCCAAAGAGACGGGTGCAGTGATTCCTTCTGTTTGGGAAGTGATTGGGATCAATTGGGTTATTGGTTGCAACCTGCAGCCCTTGTTGTTGGAACGTCGCTCCCAGGTCCAGTCCGCTCAGTCAGAGCAGCTGCACGCTGGAGGCCCCGGCGGCTCGGAGGCGGCTCTGGCCGCCGCGCTGGCGGAGACGCGGCACAGCGAGTGGTTTCGTGCGGAGCGCGTGGGGCTTCATGACGAGCTGAAAGGCTATGAGACGTCGCTGGAGCCTCGGCGCCGAACGTGGACAGCTCGCCCATCATAAGATGCCTTCGCCAACGTGGCCGACAGACCTGGGGAGGAAGGGCGAGAGGCGCGCAGTTGTTGGGGTGAATTGTGAATCCATGGGGGGGACCCAAACGCCCATCCATTGGGAGTTCAAGGCAACGAGAATCACAGGCGTTTTGGGGGGGAGGTGGGGCGGCCAAGTGAGGAGTTCTTCTGCTTGCTCTTGTGGTTCCTATTGCCATGGATCCTTTGGATGCTGCTCTACCTTTGCAGCGTCATCTACGTGACTGGGGTCTCGATTTGGCAATGTCTTTGGGTGAGTGGGATTTCTTTGGGGTGAATAGAGGATCACAGCGGAAGCTGTCAGGAATCCTCAGACCTTCATCCTGGATTCATTTTTAGCCTTCACAGCCTTTAGAGCCTTCAGCCTTTCAATCGAATCCCGCTAACCATCTGGCCTCTGACCGAGGTCCAGGTGTCCCTCATGAGGGATTGGAGCTTCTACCGCAGGGCGTCCCGCTTCTACGAGGAGCTCGTGAAGGACCGGGGTGCAACGGGTTGAAGACGTTCTTCGGTCGTGGACTCCCCAAGGACTGACGAAACCTGTCAGATAGGCATCGGACTCTTACACATAGGCATCGACCAGCTCGCAGCTGGTCCTCCTTTGAGGACGTTTGAAGTCCGGGAATCGCGGGTCTCGGAAGGGCCGTTTTATATATTTTTTTGACCCGGCAAGCTCTTGGTACGCACAAAAGACCTGCTCTGTGTTTCAGGATGGAACGCGTGAGACCTTGGCGTGCTACGACGCGGAAGACTGGCTGGCCTTCTGCAAGGCCGATGGGGGATGGGTGGGACGGGCGGCTGTACGGCGAACAGCAGCAGTGGTGGTTTGATTCTGTATGGTTGCTTGATTCTGCAAGGTGTGTCACATCGTCATGTCTATGTGGAACGTCTTCTTAAGAACGTGGGGGCTAGGTCGAGGTTCTTGCTTTTCCTGCTTTTCCTTTCAATTGCAGCTGGAGACCTTGCTGGAGACCATCCATCGGTGCTTTTCGGAAGTTGACAGGGGGGCGTTCTGAGATTCGACCAGTGATTCATCGAACCGGAACAGGTCTGGAGAAGAACGTCTCCCATCTTTGGAGTTTCACACTTCGCTCCGGTAACTCTTGGGTCATTTGTTTGCTTTGCACCTGATGTCTGTTCGATCGACGTGTGAGGCCTACTTCCAGAAGACCTGCCACCTGGAGGGAAAAGGGAGCTGGGGTAGTCGACTTGGACATCAAAGTGAGTCATCCGCCACCTCCGGCTGCAACAGATGTTTTCGATTCAGTTTCTCCCAGCAAAACCTAGCAGAGGAACCCAATCTTTTTCAACGCCTTGAAACGTCGGATGGTGCTCAACATCAGGAACCTTTGGGGAAAGTCTGGCTTGGACCTCGAAAAAGCCAGGTTGGCCTGTCTTGGACTGTGCTCAGGTGGTCTTTGGACTTCGTTGGATCTCTTCGAAGCCTTCGAACTGCAGGGCCTCCGCCGTGGCTTTCACCGCACCTTTCTAGCGCAGGCGATGCCTGCGTTGCTGGCACTGCTGCTCGTGCTCTATGCGCCGGTATTGCAAGGGCTGGCACCTGGGCGCAGTCGGGGTGTTGAACAGACATGAATGGGCCGTGAAGAGTTTGGGTGAGATTGGTCCTATATAAACTCGGGGGGCCATGCATGAAAGATGAAATGTCTTCACTTCGAGAGAGGTATTCAATGACCGTGAACTAAGGACCGTCACCTGGGGTACCCAACTGGGATCGGATAGTCGAACAGTCGGGTTCGAACCAACCTCTGTTGGGACCCAGACCCAGACCCCTTGGCCTCGCCCGTGCCTCCCGCGTCGCTTGGCCCAGGTGGAGCCCTTTCGCTGCGTGCGCCTGGGCGACGAGCCGCTGTGGCGCTCCTTCTTCGCCCCGGAGGTGCTCGGCCCACGATCGGGTCGAACGGAGCATCAAGCCTCGCCATCGGGTCTCTGCCTGAAGCGAGGGATTTCCCGTGGCGTGTCTGGGGGGGACCAATTCAGATGAAGGATGAAATGGTGGGGTTTTCTCCAGGCTTTTCTCTTCATCCAGGTTGCGCCGGGTGACCCTTGCGAGGCGTATCACGGGGCTCGGTGGTTGACCCAGGACGAGGGAACGCGCCGGAGCGAACCAGTTCCTGGGGAGGATCGTCCAGTTCCCGGCCCAGCGAAGAGGTGGGTGATAGATCTCCCGGGAGGTCCAGGGGTTGGGTGATGGATTGAGGGTCGGCGCAGGTGCAGACCAGACCGGTGACGTCCGGCGACGTTCGGCTCCAGGTGCAGTGTTGGAGCTTCGAGGTGCCCTTCACGCGCGCTGGATGCATGGGTCCCGCGTGTCGGGGACAGTGGGACAGCAATGGCATTTGGGTTTTTGAGCTCTGGTTCGGCAACTCAGGAGTCGTTTTTCTTGTGAAGGAAGAAAGGAACATTGGGGTGGTGAATGCATGCACCCAATCGACTCGTTTGATGTTGCTTTTTTTCCATGCCGAAGGTCTTTGAGCTTCGCTGTGGCATTGCTTTGGGCTGTCGGGGTGCCGGTGGTGCTGAGCTTTGTGCTGCGCCGAGTAAGGAACAGCTTCTGGGCGGAGAAAAGCTGCACTTGAATTCAGAGAGGTGGCCTCTGCCAAGGGCAAAGACAGCTAGGGCCAAATACCATCCAAACAAGAACAAGTAAAAGGATATTGACGGCGTAGACCAAACACTTGTGGGATCTTGTGGGTGCGTCTGTCACTATTGTGTGCCGCATCGAGTTGATCAGGGATAGACTAAGAGATGTGTGTCACTTGATGTTCACATAGAGTATATTTGACATATATGGACATATCAAATACCAGCACCCGACTTCACAGGTCACCAATTGAGACCCCTGAGAGCCTAACAACCCTCCAAAGGAGACCTGTTGGAGGGTGCTGGTATAAGAGATCCGTTTTTGAAACCACAGAAAACCAAAGAGGCCGTGAACTCACGCAAACCAGGATCATCACCACAGAACACCACCAAAAAGAAGCTGCCGCTTCACCCGGATCGTGTCCAAGCTGTCTCTCATCACCGGTGAGATCAGTGCATCACTGCGGATGCACTGGACGAGCGGGTGAGCCAAGGCCTTCCAGATGATTTCGAGTTCCCTCCGGAGTACGCGGTGCTTAGCCTGGGCTACCGCCTGGGTTGCTGGAACTGGGAGATGCTTTTTGGCTTGCGGAAGGAAGAGGACGAACCTGTCACCCTTCCAGCCGATCACCAGGAGTGACCGCGCTGCTCATGCTTGGATCCAACACCGGACGCGGAACTCCATCCTGGCCACCGATGTGGTGGTGGCGCCAGGATGGAGTTTCCCCCCCAAAAAACGGTCCATCCGATGTAGAGTGAACCCCCACAACAAATTGAACACAGTCGAAAACGAGTTGCGAACAAGGCTCGGGGCCCGAGTCGACCCCCAGACTTCAACGAGAACCCTTCGCGGCTCGCATTCGGGAACAAGGGAAAAACGCATCGCGATCAAGAAGAACGCAAGTTTTTCTGCACACTGGGCAGTGGCGAACTAGGAGGTGCCCTACTTTCCAGCCCAAAACACCTTTGCCCCCTTTCGGCACCGAGACTCTCGACCCAAAAAGGTCTGGATGGTTTGGTGGTCTAAGTCTTTCCCCTGTCTTTGGGCGATTCACCCCGACATTTCGTGGACGCACCGGGCGACCATCGCACTCACAGACGAGAAGCAGACTCATCACTTCAAGCGGTCCATCACTCACCCCGGATCCTTCGGTGAATCGGTGCTCCATCTGGTCTCGACCTGGAGGGTTTCTGGTGCTTTCACTAGAGGTACATCTTCTTGGTGAAGGCTCTTCTCATTGGTTCCTCCGTGCTGAGCCCTGCGGGTCGCAGCAGCTTCCTCTTCTTCCTCTCCATCCTTCATGGTGCCCTGGATGACTGACTGGGTGGCTGCTGGAACGCAGGGCTAACCTCCCCATGGTGGAGGAGCATCTTGTTTCCATGGCCAAGTAAAATTGTAGGCCCTGGCGAGTCTTTGAAAGGTATTCAAAGGTGTCAAATCAGGGTTGCCGAGAGCTGTTTGTTGGTCATCAGCTTTTGTTACCGACCAGTACTCGTACCATAAGGGATGATCTGAGAACATGATTGAAGGCCTCTGTCACCATCCCCAAACCCACCCAGATTGGGAGTTGCTTTTTTGCTTTGCAGTTCATGTAACTATGTCATCCAGCCTTTTGCAAAGCCTGGGTGATGCTCTCAGCTCCAGAAAAAGCACATGCACTGCACTGCTTCTGTTCTGGGGAATCCTCATCCACTGCACTGCACGGATTCGCTCCTCTCACAGCTCTGCCCGGAGCCGAAAGCCGAACCGCCCAGGCGCCGTGGTCCGGGCCGTGAGCCCCTTCACGGGGCGCTCGGACTTCGTGCTGCTGCGCTGGGATCGGCGCTTCGCGCTCTTCTTTGTGCTGAGCAGCATGCTGGTGGGAAGACCGTTGGGTGGGACCGTCGGGTCGGGTATGCCGTTGGGTGAAGCCTGGAGCCAGTAAAGACGGGGCGCCCCCAAATGCTGGGTTTAAGGCTTGAAGACATCTGACGTGCTCGGCCGCTTTTCGGCGCCGGATCCACGCGGGTCACGCGTCGGTGTGTCTGGACCTGCCCTCGTTGGGGGGGTCCAGTCGCTGGGTCTCCGGGTGTGCCAGGTCCAGGCGCTCCCGTGTGCTTCGAGCGTGGAGTGGGTGTCCCCGATCTGGACCTTGGGGCTGGTGCTGGTCCTGCTGCTGCTGACGCTCGGTCCCGCTGGGTGAATCCCATCGGTTCGAACGCGCAGAGAACGGCTAGGTTCTACTGCGTTCATTCCAGTGAAGTTTTGCAGCCTGAGAACTCTTATGAACTCTTGGGGCAGATGATGGCGTCTTTCTATTCCTTGGCCTTCCAAGGAACCTCGTGCTGCTGGCGCTTCTGGCGCGAGATGGATTTGTTTGCTGGCACGAGACCTATGTCGAGAGGTATGAGACGCTGGGTTTTGAATGAGAGAACAGACAATCTCCAAATCGACCCTCCACAACCGTTGGCTCGAATCTGCAGGAGGTGGTGAACATCTTTTGGAGGGGGCTCAAAACAAAGAGGTCCTGCATTGCACATCTAACTACTGTACAGACTACTATGATATAATTTAGTAAATGCATATAATGATCTCGGTTTTCCGGATCGAGCTCTTTTTGTGATCATGCATGTGTTTTTGAGCTGGATTAAGCTCGCACCCCATGAGTGAACACCTGAGGTTCTATGAGTGGGAGCTCTGGCAGCGCGCGTCCAGCCGCTGCGGCCCACGGCTCACTCGGCGGCTCGTGGCTTGGACCGAAAGGGCAGGTGGTCCATGCTGACGAGGTCATTCCCCAAGGGTCAACATGACTTGGATCTTGGATAGCTCGGTGCCCTCCTGGACTCACTGCTCAGTGATTGGCAGTGATTGACATGAGGTTCACATGGATTCTGGGAGGACCAGTGATGGTATGTGATGGTGAGAGTCCATGTTTGCCAGGAGGTTCTTCCCCCTCTTCACCCAATTTGTGTGGAGTCGAATTCATCCGAATTCCCCCCAGGTGCAGAGCCTTCTGAATCACTACCGGAGGCCGGAGCGCTCCGCAGCTCCGCTCTGGGCTCGGCTCCGTCGTAGCGGGACGGAGAACGAACGGAACGAAGGGAGAAGCACCGGCTGAAGGGGTGAACCGAGTTCCCCTGGTGGCTGAAGGGAGAGGCACCTGTCGACTTGGATCCCTCTTTATCCAAGTCGTCCTCCGACTGAGTGGCTTCGCATTCGAGGAGTCTTGTGCAGTGGAATTTGGGGGCTTACAGCTTGATCTTGAGGGTCGAAAAGTGGACGAATGGAACAGCATCTGGGCCCCTGGGCATGGGGGTTCACACATGTGCCCGGGTTTTGGGTTTCGCGCGACTCAGGCGCGTGCGAAACCGAGCCTATGTGAGCTTCGACATCAAATTGGGATGGCTGACGGTCTGTGGATCTCATGGCGACCAGGCGGAGCCGGGACCTGTCAGGTGTCTCCCCCGAACTGGAGCCGGGACCTGTCGGGTTCTAGAAACTGGAGGACTGTTATTCCCCAAACAGTTTGCTGTTAGGGGTTCTCAATTCTTTCTTAAGATGTGTCCGCCCTTTGTGTCACTGCTGGTGTCCGCCCTTTTCCGCTGGCCATGTAGCTACAATGTAGC